GCGGGTGGTGAGCACACACCTGATGAGGTGTTGAGTGGCAAGCACCTGCAGCAGTTTGGCCAGGCGGGCATGGACGGTATCTTGTGTCCGAAGGATGGCCTCCCAACGTACGCTGACGCTCTCGAGATTGTCTCCGCCGCCATCGCGAAGGAGAACAAACTCATGCAGCAGCAAAAGTCCAAGGAGTGGAAGAAGAGGTTCGCGACATGGTCGAGGGATCTCTACAAGCTGACGACGCCGATCTTTAGGCAGTCAGCACCAGCACCGCCCTTCGGGGCAAAAGAAATGCGAGGTGATTGGCAGCGACAGTGGTGCCCAGGTGGTCCTCCTGATCGTGCTCACCAACATGTACGTGCTTGGAAAGGATATGCTGACACTGTTGAGTTTCCAAAATCAGACAAGCCAGTGGATTGGTTGCCTTCAGTTGAGACGCTGGATCACATCATTGCACATGCAAAAGGAGCTGCCGGCCTTGACGGGTGGGGAGCACATGAGTTGCGAGCTGTACGAAAGTTGTTTCCTGAGCTGATCCTGGAGCTACATGAGTTGTGGTGCCAAACATCGCTCTGGGCTGTCGAACGTCAGGGCCATCTTCCACATAATTTCAGTGATATGGTGTTTGGTTGGAGGGTGGTCGGCATCCCGAAAAGCGAGACTGATCTTCGGCCGATTTCAGTTGGATCATTACTCTTGAGATGTTGGATGTCTGCATTGGCGACTTCTTTACCAACTCCCACGTCCAACCAATGGGCGTGCAAGCGGGGAATCTCATGTGTCAAAGCCATTGCCAAGTGGCTTGCGGAGGTTTCAAATTCTGAGGCTGGGGCTGAGATGGATCTGTCCCGTGCTTATGACAATATCGATCATGAGATCGGAGTGGAGGCCCTTCTTCGAGAGGAAGTTCCGCTCAGTACCGTCTTCACCGCCCTCGCGGCCTGGCGAGGCCCACGACATTTGTGCGTCGCAGGCGAGATGACGAGCCCAATTTATGTTGAGCGTGGATTGCCGCAGGGGGATGCAGTTGCTCCTGCGGGTATGTGCGCCTGTTTTGTACCATGGCAGCCTAGTGGTGGAATGGCCTACATGGACGATAGAAGCTTGACAAATGCTACGAGCGCCATCGTCGATGAGGAGCTGTCTTTCACGACAAAGTTTGATCAAGATGTGGGGTTCGCTGAGAACCAGAACAAACGTCAACGTTGGAGCCGAGATGATGATCCACCACGTGTCGTTGAACATTTGGGGTTGAAGTGTCGTCCAGCTGATCCAGAGTGCCCGATCCTGCCAAGGAAGGGATGGCAGAAAGTTTACCAGGCCATCGAGACGCTGAAGTCCATCCCAGGTGGTTCAGATGTTCGTGAGCGCCTGGCTGTCTCTTACATACGACCGTTATGGTATTGGGCGGCGCCTGTGGTTGCACCGGTTCCTGATGACGTACCTCGGCTTCTGCATAGGGCTATTATCAGGACGTCTCCGAAGTGGTGGTGTCATGGCCGATGGTGGGCTCAAAGAATACACCTGCATCCCAGATACGGTGCAGCGTTATATGCTTTCCAAGTGATGGATGAGTCCCTGGAGTGGTCGGAGTTTCTGGAGCACTCGCTGAGTGTGCATGCTGCTATCCTCGGCCTCACCTTCATCAGATTTCTGAGCAGCAGGGAGTGTTACTTGAGTGTGACCCTCGTGATGATCATCGTGTCCTGGATGCAGTGCGAAGCTTGTGTGCTCCTCAGACGACAAGATTCTGGACTCGCAGGAATCAGGACAAACGCTATCAGCGACGAGCTGATCACGCCCTACGGCAGGTTGCCCGTTTGAGGTGTCTCCAGCAAGTCAATGCAAAAAGAAGAGATGCTGAAGAAATCGAGTCCGTTGACATTGAAGTTCCTTCACATCCGTACTATTCAAAGTGGGCCAGAGGCCTAGATGATGCCAAGAAGAAGTTGCTTTGCATATTTCTCTCGGGTGCAGTATCATCAGAAACGAGACGCCAGTCGGGGAATCCGTGTCCGCACTGCGACCACCCGTGGCCTTCTTTCAGACATATCTGGGCTGAGTGCCCATATCATCAAGCAGCTCGTGAGTTCATTGCCACAACGCATAGTGTCCAAGCAAATTTTTGGACAAGTGTACCAAGGGTTACGTCGAAGACTGGCTGGATTGTCCCTGACCAGGCTCCGACACTTCAAATGCGAGCAAGGATGATGAGAGCAGCTTGTGAGTTGGGACTTCATATTCTTGCTGATGATCGTGCACAGCGACTACGCCAGGCTTGTCCAGCTGGTGGAGATTAGTCTTGTTGCAATGGAGCTATTCCTTGGTTAGTTTGCTTCATTCACCATCATCATCATCCACCCCGAACCTGATAACTGGCGTTTGTGAGACGGCCTCTGGTGTTTTAAGAAAGAGCCCGGCCTTGCTCGATTCCTTCTCTGGGTGCGTTTGCAAAGCGGCTTCGCTGTGTTCAAAAACGGTCCCAGACCCTCCTGGGTTCCGTCCTGGTCAGCTCCCGCTCGCGGCCGAACCTCCTCAGACCTCCTCGAGCCATGTCGAACCTCACTCCTACTCCTCCTCCTCCTTCCCCTCCTCCTCCAACGCCTCCTCCTCGTCCTCCAACGCCTCCTCCTCCTCCTCCTCCTCCTCCTCCTCCTCCTCCTCCTCCTCCTCCTCCTCCTCCAACGCCTCCTCCTCCTGGCGATATCCGTCCCCGACCCTCCCCCGCCCCCGTCGCTCCTCGCGGCTGCACGCACGAGTTGCCCTTCCCCTTTGCCCTTCGCCGGGACCTCTGGTGCGCGGCTTCTGGGGGGCGCTGCGGGGGGATGGGGGGGCAAACGTTAAGTCGAGCACGCCCCTCTACAGGAGGAATATTCAAACATAGGAGCAACTATTTTTTTGTTGTGTGTGTGTGTGTGTCAATTTTAGACGCTTCGCGTATCCCCACCAGCCGTTTGCAGTCTTGTCGGTGATGAGGTTGCCCCTCTTCACTCTTGCGCCGACACGATGTTTTGGCATTTGTGACGCTTACTTCACGGATGCTGTCTGGGTGTGCTTGCCGGTCTAGTTCGTCTCTGACGGTGCTTTTTGCCTGACTCACACCGAGCGGTCGACCTCTGCGTGTTTATGGTCGCGCCGCCGCGCCATTTTGGCTGCGCTTACTTGCTGGTCGCCACCGGGTTTTCCAACGCCACCGGGTTTGGGAGTATCGGTTCTGGCTCTCCTTCTGAGTGGCTGCCCGCTCGCTCGCTTCGCTTGCTTTTCTTTTCCTGCTGCCTAGTCGCGGCCCGACTAGTGTTCGGACGGCTTTCGACCCGCCTCGCGAGCCTGTTGACCAAAAAGTATCCCCACCAGCCCATCCAGAAACAATGTCCAGGCGAGTTGAGGTGATCAGGGAAGTGCGGCAGCAAAGAGGGGGACGGCCGAACCGTGCAAAGGAGTGAGGGGAGAAGGAGGAGGAGGAGGTGGATGGATGGATGGATGGATGGATGGATGAGGGAGTGGGAAGAAGGAGGCGGAATAGGATGAGGAGGAGGCGGAGGAGGAGGAGGAGGAGGAGGAGGAGAAGGAGGAGGAGGAGGAGGAGGAGGAGGAGGAGGAGAAAGAAGAGAAGGAGTAGGAGGAGGAAGGAGGAACAGGAGGAGGAGGAGGAGGAGGAGGGCAAGCGCAAGGGCCAGAGGTCTCTTGGATGCTTCTCGGAGCATCTTGGGGTATCTCTTGGGCGATTCTTGGTGGCCTCTTGGGACGTCTTGGGGGTCTCTTGGCGGTCGTGGGGGGCTCTTCGGCGTCTTGGGTGCCTCGGGGGGGCCTCTTGGGGCCGCTTGGGATCCTTTTGGGGGCCTCCTGGGAGCCTCTTGGGGGCCTCTTGGGGTCATATTGGGGCCATCTTGGGACCTCTCGGGCCTCCTGGGCGCTTCCTGGGGCCATCTTGGAGGAGATCGAACAAACAAGAGGGAAGCTTGAATTAGGATCCCCCCCTCAGGAGGCCAAAATGGGGCCCAAACCTCAGTAAAACCAATGATTTTGGCTTCCTCGCCGAGGCCGTTTTGGACGCCCTGACACCTCGCGAGGGAGGGGTTGGTAGGGGGAGGGGTAAACCCCTCCCCGAAGGGGAAGAAGGAGGGGTGGAAGAGGAAACTCCCTAAACCACCGACGCCCAGAGGGCTGGTGGGATTTGGGTCAATTTTGAATAGTGGCACTTTCTGGATATCTTGATAATGTCTGTCAGTGTTTGAGCATTTCAGGATTCTTTTTGACTACCGTATTTGCTATCTTTCCTCCAAGATTCCCCTGTAGGGGGACAGGCCCGACCTAAGGCAAACGCCAGCACGCAGGCCGTCGTTGCCGCCGCACCGTGCGCCACGATCGGCAAGCTGCGCACCAGAGGCCGCTCGTGCTTCGGACCGCTCCTGCGTGTGCAGTAGGCACGCCCACAGAACGCTCCACGGATGTTTTTTTTACTTCCCGGCCAACCTGGGCACCCCGCGGAGTCCGTGGGCCTCCCCGGAAGTCCAAGATCGACCGAAGCATGCGCCCTGCCTGGGTCTCTTATGACGAGGTGTCTGAACGTATGTGTGAATGTGTGTGTGTGTGTGTGTGTTTGTGTGTGTGTCCAAGCATCCGACGCCGTGATTTTTCAGCTCGCGGCCCTCGAGGCCCCGACCCCTCTCCCGGGAGCCGCTGTGCGCCCGGGCTGGATGGTCCGGGGGCCCGGACAGCGGTCCCACAAGCCGTGGAGAAGGAGCGCAAACTGGCAGCCGTGGTTGGAGGTCTGGGCATCTGCCCCGGACGTGCGATGTCCCGATTTTGTCTTTACGCGGTCCCCGGAAGTCCCGACCCCCTCCCCTGACTGGCTTTTCACCCCGAGTCGTTTCCGACGGTCCCGGGGCCCTCGGCGAAGGCTCCCGGAGGCGGAAAGCTCGGAAGAAGCTCCGCACAGCTTCTTTCACGGCGCGATGGGGCCTGGGAGTCGAAAGTGAGCTGCTGCAGCCATTCCCCCAGCAGAGGACATTGTGGACAAGCTCAAGGACCGCCGCCCGGCGTGAGCGGGCCCGCGCGCATGTGAGCGCCAGCGGCGGGGCACCCCCGCGCCCTGCCCGGGCTCTGGCGCGGCCGCCGGCAGTTTTGTGGCCCCCGAGCTTGGCATCATTGGCGGGGGGACTTCGCCGCAATAGCCCATTGGAGGAAAAGGTAACCATACCGCTACCCTTCCCTCGTTTTCCCCTGTTTGGGCCTCCCGGGAGGCCCTCGTCGCCGCCGCTGGATTCGCCTCGAAATCCTGGTCAGATCGCGCCCCAGGTGAGGTCCGGAGTCCGGGGGGGTAGCGGCTAGCGGTATCGGTACCTTTTGGATTCCTTAGCTTCGCTGCAAGAGCGGCGATCTTCAATATCTCGAATTCGTGGAGTATCGGCTGGCTTGCAGCTGGCGGTTGCAGGGAGCACGGTGCACACTTTTCAGGCGCACACGGCTTCAAAGCGAGGCGCACGTATATTCAATAAGCAGAAAAGGAATCACGGGCCGCGCAAGTCAAACTCGGGGCAGAGCAGCAGATGGAAAGAACACCTCGTCGGCCCTGAGAGGAGGCATGCACGAGCCCCGAGATCCGACGTCGCGAGTAAGTCACGGCGTGGTGAGCAGCAGCGCAACCCGAGCTCGCCACGCCCAGCTTCGCGCGATGCTCCTCTGGCCGGACCGGCCCGTGAGGGCCCGGGGGCCAAAGGCCGGGGCCAGCACGTCCGTGGTGACTTCTCACGACGCAGGATGCGAGGGTCCTCTTCCTCGGCATCGCTCGGGCGAGTGCGCAGTGTTGCTCCTCGGCGAGGAGCCTTTGAGGCCAGCTCGCGAAAAACCCGCGCCCGAAACAGAGCAGTGCACAGGGAACGAACGGACCGAGCGATGGCGAGCTTCTCTGGCCAGTCTTCCAGCCCTGCGTCGTCCCCTGCAGGCAGCCGTTCTCGGGGAGATGCCCGGCTCTCCCGCGGAGGCTCTCTCGCCTGGGCGCAGCAGGTCGGGGAACATTGCTTGAGGCTGCCAGAAGTGCCCCAGGTCCAAGAGGTGGCCGCCAGCTTTGCGTGTTGCTTCTCCTCCTCCTCCTCCTCCTCCTCCTCCTCCTCCTCCTCCTCCTCCTCCTCCTCCTCCTCCTCCCACTCCTCCTCCTCATCGTCATCCTCGTCCTCCTCCACCTCCGCCTCCTCCTCCTCGTCCTCCTCCTCGTCCTCCTCCTCCTCCTCCTCCTCCTCCTCCTCCTCCTCCTCCTCCTCCTCCTCCTCCTCCCCCCCCACCCCAGGTTCTCGCGTTGCTTCTGATCGGCGGCGGGCGAGGGGGGGGGGGAACCGAGACGGCCCCTGCTTCGGAGGCGCCGCCCGTGGCCGCGGCTGCGCCGGCGCCGCCCGCCGCTGCCGCCCTGGGCGTGCCGCGCAGAAGAGAGGCCGCGGAGGCACGGGCCGCGGGACCCCCCCACCCCCCAGGGGGGCCAGGGCGGGAGGCGCAGCGGACGGGCTGGGGTGAGTCGGCGGCGAGCGAGGGGGGGAAGTTCGAGATTCGAGGGTCGAGGTTTTCGGGCGTGGTCGTCGGTTCTTGGCGGTTTTCCGCCCTCGGGTTGCGTTCCAGCGGCTGCGCCTCGCCGAGAGCGTTCCGGGGGTGCCCAGCTCGTCCCGACCAGCCACCGGAGGGCCGGGTTAGGACCCAGAGGCCGATTTCGGCGGCGCGCCTGGGGGGGGAAGTGAGAAGGAGAAGGCCTCCTCAGAAGGCCCTGAGCAGTTTTCTGCGTCTTCGGAGAAGGCTCAGAAAGCTTTTCTCCGAAGGCCGGTGGACTTCCGAGCCTTCCGGGAAGGCTCGCCGCCGATCTGAGCCTCGTGAGGGGTGCTCCGAAGGCCGGCGGGGCCTGCCCGGAGAAGCCAGGGCCACCTCGGGCTTGCGCCGCTGGCAGCACTGGGAGAGAGCGCCCCAGGGCCCGAAGAGCGTCAGGATACACCCCGAGCGTCCTGCAGGAGCTCCTGCAGCAGCTTCGAGGAGAGGCCAACGTCCTGAAGGAGCTCCTACAGCAACTTCTGGGAGCTCCTGCAGACACTTCGAGGGGAGGACACCATTCTGGACCTCCGACGCCATGCTATTTCGAGTCGCCTACCTGCTAACAAGTTGCTGGTGGCTCCTCCTCCTCCTCCTCCTCCTCCTCCTCCTCTTCCTCCTCCTCCTCCTCCACGTTGTTGTAGTTTTTGGGGGAAATGGCATGTGAAGGTGGTGACCACTTTCGGAGAGGAGGCGCCAAGTTGGAACATGCGTACGTGCGAGCACTGGCACTGGAGCTCACAGTCTCATCGATGGCATTGCGATCCCGCTGTCGTGGAAGAGCCGCAGTGAGACCTACAACGACACCTTCATCAAAGTGAACGGGAAGTGCCGTGACCATTATCCTGTCTGGACTCGCATCGCACAGGCCGACATGAAGATGGGGAATGTCTTCCGGAGAAGGACCCTTCCCGGTTGGAAGCCGTCATCCCTTGAGTCTCGCGAGAAGTACAAGAGGTCTATTTCTTTGTCTCTGGGCATGCTGACGTGGGGCGAGCCAGACACGAGCATGGAGGCGAAGCTCGACAAGATAAACGAGATCATGGTGGAGGCCGCCCAGACCATAGACCCCACAATGCGAGCTGATGAGATCCGACATGTATTCTCAAAGCTCCCGGCGGAGGCGCGCCTGCAGGAGGGGGCGCATCAGGCTGCCGATGTTGTTGCCTGTCGCGCGGCGTTGAAGGAGCTCCGACGACGTCGCCCACGGCGGCACCGAGAGAGATTGCGAGCCCTCTGCCCGAGCGGGCGGCATGCACGGGACCGACAGGGTGGAGCTCCGCCTGCAGGGTTCAGGCCGGCAGGGCGGGGCCGTCGAGGGTTTCACCGGTCGAGGTGGCCGGAGGTGCGGGTGGAGCTCTGCGCTGCCGAGTGCACGGGCGACCTTGAGACCGAGGAGGTACAGCGGAAGCGGATTCGCATGTTGGAGCGCATCGCCGTGATGGAGGAGGCGCGCTGCACGGCCGAGGTGGTGAGTCGTTACAGTAGTAATCATGTGCTACAGGCACGGCCCCGCCTCACGGCCCAGAAGTCGTGGGGCGCCGATGAAGCTGTATCCTGTCTCCGAGATGATTTAGATGCTTCGCCCCGCGGGTGTACCTGCTCTCTACGACTAGTTTGAAAAACGCCTCAACACGGTAGGGTCCAGAGTGCTCTCTTGGAGTAAGATAGTCGTGGTGTTTCTGACGAAGAAATGCATGAGCCAAGAGTTCAGCGATTGCCGCGGGGTCACCTTGTTGCCGTTGTCCTGGAATGGTATGTGCCATCGTTGTTCTGCTTGTGGGAGGAAGTATGGGGGCTGCGCGATGAGTTGGGACAGGAGGGTGGCAAAGCCCGTGAAAATGTGGAACATGAAAATTGGCTTCGAGACGGGGCTCAGTTGCGACAGCCTCATCTGCCCTCTACAAATACTGCTGCGCAAGAGCTATGGATGGCCTGACCGCTTCCCCCTGACAGTGCTGACCGCCGACATCTTGCAAGCGTTCGACACCCTGCGGCCGGCGAGTGCGATGGAAGCCTTCAGAGAGTCCAGGACGCCAGCGAAGCTCGCCCAAGCTCTTTCAAGGAGGATGTCGGTTGCCGAATGACGCCTGTCTTCGGCAGCAGCACTGGGGCCTCGTCGACAACTTTCAACTGTGTGAGACAAGGCAGCACAAATGCACCCAGGAAGTGGATTGCGATGATGGGCATGGTGATGGGACGTGCTACACTCAGCTTTCGGGAACGTGGCTGCGGGATTCATGTGGGTTCGCGCTGGCAGAATATACCTCCTAGCATCCTCGTGCTCAGCCTTGGAACCGATGACACAAAAATGGACAAACCACATGTCATCGTACCAGCTGCAGGAAGACTTTGAGCTAGGAGTTCTTGACCTCAGAGGACGGCGCACCCGAGTCCTTTATCACCCATGGCAGCAGCCCCGCTGGCAGCAGCAAGCCAATCAGAGTGATACGGGTGCAATCCACCCAGCAGCTGAGGACAATCTTGACAGACACTGGGAGCATATTGCCAGACGTGGGCTCAAGAATTGCCGCGGCGACGATTATCGTGGACGTGTCACTTCGCCTGAGCCGACGAGGAGCTTCGGAAACGAAGCTTGAGCGCCTCGTAAAGTCTGCAGAGGTTCTACACGCTCATCCAAACGATGAGTCTGCACGGCTGCGAGTGCTGGTCAAAGCCACGATTGCGCAACGTCTTCACCGAGCAGAGGGCGGTACGACGTACAGCGGGACTTCGCGGCAGACTGGCAGGCATGACGATACAATGCTGGTTGCGACGACGACGAGGGCAAGGACGGTGTTTGTTCGGGCAGGCCACACATTGATCTCGGAGAAGATTTTCGGCGCCATCCACGAAGCAGCGCGTGATACTGGGAGCAAGCGGTTCACAACAATCGGGGCGGACGATAAATGATAACCTCGCCGGCCTGGTTGCCCCCGCAGTGGGGGAGGGGGGAGAAGGACGACGGAGGGCAGGCAATCCCAGGCTGTCTGGTGGGCCGCGGAGTGCCCGCGAGGCCGCCAGAAGTTTGCGAGCCAGACCCTGGAAGCGTTGTTTTGACCTCCTCCTCCTCCTGCCCCTCCCCCTCCTCCTCCTCCTCCTCCTCCTCCTCCTCCTCCTCATCCTCCTCCGCTTCCTCCTCTTCGTCCTCGTCCTTCTATTCCTCCTCCTCCTCCTCCTCCTCCCCCTCCTCCTCCTCCTCCTCCTTCTCCTCGTCCTCCTCCGCTTCCTCCTCCTCCTGCCCCTCCCAGGCGCTGCGGTCGTCCGCGAGGGCGACTGCGCCGACCAAAGAAGGCCGACGACGAGGACGACTACAGCGCCGACGACGGCGACGAGGACGAGGACGAGGGACGAGGACGAGGACGAGGACGAGCTCGACGACGACGGACGACGACGACGACGACGACGACGACGACGACGACGACGACGACGACGCACTGCGGATGCCCTAGGGGGTGGGGGGGGGGCTGCGTAGGCCCGCTCTAGTTGACGACGACGACGACGACGGCAAAGACGAGGACGACGGACGACGACGGCGACGACGGCGACGACGCACTGCGGATGCCCTGATGTCCTACATGGGGGGAGTGCTGCGGCGGCCCGCTGTAGTCGACGAAGACGATGACGACGGAGAGGACGACGACGGCGACGACGACGACGACGACGACAACGACGAGGGCGAGGACGACGACGACGACGACGACGACGATGACGAGTCCGACGGCGACGGCAGAACAGTTGCCAGGGGCAGTCGATTAAATTATCCTGGCGATGGACCCAACCATATGCAGTTACGAATACCGCAAAGCAGGTTGAACGAATGAGAGGGAACTCCCTAAGGGGCCACGAAGCGTGTGAGAGGTGTGCCGAAATGGGTGCGGTGCCGCCATGCGCACGCAGCCGCTGGGGCCCTCGGTGGAGCTCCCTATGGGGCCACGAAACGTGTGAGGGGTGTGCCGAAATTGGTGCGGTGCCGCCATGCGAACGCAGCCACTGGGGCCTTCGGTGGAGCTCCCTATGGGGCCACGAAGCGTGTGAGGGGTGTGCCGAAATGGGTGCGGTGCCGCCATGCGGACGCAGCCACTGGGGCCCTCGGTGGGCTCCCTATGGGGCCACGAAGCGTGTGAGGGATGTCCCGAATGGGAGCGGTGCCGCCATGCGAACGCAGCCACTGGGGGTGGAGCGGGGCCACGAAACGTGTGAGGGATGCCGCAGCCATGGGGCCCTTCCGTGTGATGCGAACGCAGCCACGGGGCCTCGGTGGAGCTCCCTATGGGGCCACGAAACGTGTGAGGGGTGTGCCGAAATGGGTGCGGTGCCGCCATGCGAACGCAGCCACTGGGGCCTTCGGTGGAGCTCCCTATGGGGCCACGAAACGTGTGAGGGGTGTGCCGAAATGGGTGCGGTGCCGCCATGCGAACGCAGCCACTGGGGCCCTCGGTGGAGCTCCCTATGGGGCCACGAAACGTGTGAGGGGTGTGCCTGTGCGGTGCCGCCATGCGAACGCAGCCACTGGGGCCTTCGGTGGAGCTCCCTATGGGGCCACGAAACGTGTGAGGGGTGTGCCGAAATGGGCGCGGTGCCGCCATGCGAACGCAGCCACTGGAGCCCTCGGTGGAGCTCCCTATGGGGCCACGAAACGTGTGAGGGTTGTGCCGAAATGGGCGCGGTGCCGCCATGCGAACGCAGCCACGGGGGCCTTCGGTGGAGCTCCCTAGGGGCGTGTGAGGGGTGTGCCGAAATGGGCCGGTGCCGCCATGCGAACGCAGCCACTGGGGCCTTCGGTGGAGCTCCTTATGGGCCACGAAGCGTGTGAGGGGTGTGCCGAAATGGGTGCGGTGCCGCCATGCGAACGCAGCCACTGGGGCCTTCGGTGGAATGGGACCACGAAACGTGTGAGGGGTGTGCCGAAATGGGCGCGGTGCCGCCATGCGAACGCAGCCACTGGAACCCTCGGTGGAGCTCCCTATGGGGCCACGAAACGTGTGAGGGGTGTGCGAAGTGGGTGTGGCTGACGCGGAGGGGGAGGAGGGAGGAGGGGGAGGATGAGTGAGTGAGGGACGCGGGGCGCTGTCTCTTCAAAACGAGGACCCAACACCACAGGATGGTTGGGAAAAATCAGCTCTGGCGGCTGAAGTTTATCAGTCGGCCCAACCCATCTATATTTAAGCCCCCGGGGGGCGGGTGGCGGCGATTTTCTAATTCGCTTGCTCCCGTTCCCATGCTGGCCATGCGCAGGCCTGGCAATGACCCTGCAGCGGGCCACCTTCAACGAGGGAGTTATCTGGCAGGTTGCGGGTGCGCCGCGGCCCGAGGAGTGAGTGGCGAGACGTGCGAGACGGGTGTCCGGCGGAGCACCGCGCGGCCGTGCAGGCGGGCAAACGTTTCCGGGACGTGGTTTAGGACGAGGAGCCTCGGCAACACCGTCGCGGTGGGTCTCAACGTGTGCAGTGGGCGAAGATCTTCCTGGGCACGCTGGTCGTCTGTGTGGCGCGAGGCGGCGGCAGTCCGGAGTTGGGAGTCTTGCAGAGAGGAGTTCGTGACGACGGCGACGACGACGACGACTGCGACGGCGCCCAGGCCCCGTGGCTGCGCGCGAGAGAGCGGGAGGAGCGGCGGCGCGTTCCTCCCTACAGGCGCCCGCGCTGGGAGACAGAGCCGCCAGCGGAGCCAGCCCTGTTCGCGGCATCCTGGAGGCCATCGAGGGCGACAGCGTGAGCGTTGTCCATGGGCTAGACTGGAAATAGTTGATGCGGAAAGAATCCATGCAGCCAGTATCGACCTGGAGGATAACGTCATTACACCGAGCTTGGCAGACTGGGAAGTTCCGCCCATGCGGTGCCGGGATGGACAGGGCAAACCACATATACAGGGTGTACAATACCCACGCCGACGGGCTCGCGACACGCGCTCCGCAGTCGCAAAGCGGGGGCTGGAACTCTACGAGCTAAGTGTGACGAGGTCGAAGGACGCAGCGTCCTGGAGGTCGTCGGTGAGTTCGACGTTGGACATTGACAAGGTCGCGCCGGGGCAGCATTGACCTTGTGAGTACGCGTAGACCGGGAGAGATCCGCGCTAGTACCATGGATGTCGTTCTGGATGGCTCTTAGCGGCGCATCTTCGAACTCTGCTGAGCTAGCGGCCTACGCGAGCTTGTGTTCCCAAATCTGTACCATAGGCAAGCTTCGGTCCGAGGGGGTAAGTTTTAAGTCCCTGGGTGCCAGTGAAGCCTGTGAGGCAACAACCAAATTTTGGAGGCGGAGCGTCAGCCTGGCTGAGCACTCCACTGGCCTTCGGTAGAATGCTTGCTTCATCCTATTGTTCATTTTCCATCTGCGGCGTTCCTCGCCGGGACTCGCCACCAGCGCTTGAAAAAATCCTCTCCTCCTCCTCCTCCTCCTCCTCCTCCTCCTCTTTCTCCTCCTCCTCCTCACCACGCTTAGAGGTAGAATCGAGCAGAATCCTCCTCCTCCTCCTCCTCCTCCTCCTCCTCCTCCTCCTCCTCGACACCCCGCTGGGGGCCCTCCATGCTCCGCGCCGCTGCCCGGCGAGCCCTCGGGGCCCGAAGCCGCACCGCCCCCCGAGACCCACGCCTTCACCGTGGCCTTCTCCGCCGCTGGCGGCGGCGGAGAGCTGGGCCCTCCTCCTGCGCCGGCCCTCGCTTCTAGGACCCCCTGTCCAGACCAAAATATCCTGGCGATGGACCCAACCATATGCAGTTACGAGTGCCGCAAAGCAGGTTGAACGAATGAGGGGGAACTCCCTAAGGGCCACGAAACGTGTGAGAGGTGTGCCGAAATGGGTGCGGTGCCGCCATGCGAACGCAGCCACTTGGGGCCTCGGTGGAGCTCCCTATGGGGCCACGAAGCGTGTGAGGGGTGTGCCGAAATGGGCGCGGTGCCGCCATGCGAACGCAGCCATTGGTGCCTTCGGTGGAGCTCCCTATGTGGCCAAGAAACGTGTGAGGGGTGTGCCGAAATGGGTGCGGTGCCGACATGCGAACGCAGCCACGGGGGCCCTCGGTGGAACTCCCTATGGGGCCACGAAACGTGTGAGCGGTGTGCCGAAATGGGCGCGGTGCCGCCATGCGAACGCAGCCATTGGAACCTTCGGTGGAGCTCCCTATGAGGCCACGAAACGTGTGAGGGGTGTGCCGAAATAGGTGCGGTGCCGCCATGCGGACGCAGCCACTGGGGCCTTCGGTGGAGCTCCCTATGGGGCCACGAACCGGGTAAGGGGTGTGCCGACATGGGCGCGGTGCCGCCATGCGAACGCAGCCACTGGTGCCCTCGGTGGGGCTCCCATGGGGCCACGAAGCGTGTGAGGGGTGTGCCGAAATGGGTGCGGTGCCGCATGCGAACGCAGCCACTGGGGCCCTCGGTGGAGCTCCCTATGGGGCCACGAAACGTGTGAGGGGTGTGCCGAAATGGGTGCGGTGCCGCCATGCGAACGCAGCCACTGGGGCCTTCGGTAGAGCTTCCTATGGGGCCACGAAACGTGTGAGGGGTGTGCCGAAGTGGGTGCGGTGCCGCCATGCGAACGCAGCCACTGGGGCCTTCGGTGGAGCTCCCTATGGGGCCACGAAGCGTGTGAGGGGTGTGCCGCAATGGGTGCCGTGCCGCCATGCGAACGCAGCCCTCGGTGGAGCTCCCTATGGGGCCACGAAACGTGTGAGGGGTGTGCCGGTGCGGTGCCGCCATGCGAACGCAGCCACGGGGGCCCTCGGTGGAGCTCCCTATGCGGCCACGAAACGTGTGAGGGGTGTGCCGAAACGGGCGCGGTGCCGCCATGCGAACGCAGCCACTGGGGCCTTCGGTGGAGCTCCCTATGGGGCCACGAAGCGTGTGAGGGGTGTGCCGCAATGGGTGCGGTGCCGCCATGCAGACGCAGCCACTGGGGCCTTCGGTGGAGCTCCGTATGGGGCCACGAAACGTGTGAGGTGTGTGCCGAAATGGGTGCGGTGCCGCCATGCAGACGCAGCCAATGGGGCCCTCGGTGGAGCTCCCTATGGGGCCACGAAACGTGTGAGGGGTGTGCCGAAATGGGTGCGGTGCCGCCATGCGAACGCAGCCACTGGGGCCTTCGGTGGAGATCCCTATGGTGCCACGAAACGTGTGAGGGGTGTGCCGAAATGGGTGCGGTGCCGCCATGCAGACGCAGCCACTGGGGCCTTCGGTGGAGCTCCCTATGGGGCCACGAAGCGTGTGAGGGGTGTGCCGAAATCGGTGCGGTGCCGCCATGCGAACCGAACGCAGCCATTGGTGCCTTCGGTGGAGCTCCCTATGGGGCCACGGAACGTGTGAGGGGTGCCGAACTGGGTGCTGTGCCGCCATGCGAACGCAGCCATTGGGGCCTTCGGCTGAGCTCCCTATGGGGCCACGAAACGTGTGAGGGGTGTGCCGAAATGGGTGCGGTGCCGCCTTGCGAACGCAGCCACTGGGGCCTTCGGTGGAGCTCCCTATGGGGCCACGAAGCGTGTGAGGGGTGTGCCGAAATGGGTGCGGTGCCGCCATGCGAACGCAGCCACTGGGGCCTTCGGTGGAGCTCCCTATGGGGCCACGAAGCGTGTGAGCGGTGTGCCGTGATAGTGAGAGGAAGGAGGAGGGAGGGGGGAGGAAGGCAGGAAGGAAGGAAGGAAGGAAGGAAGGAGTGAACGCGGGGCGCTGTCTCTTCAAAACGAGGACCCAACACCACAGGATGGTTGGGAAAAAGGAAGGAGGGGTGGGGTAGCTTCCGAAGCCCCCCCCTTTGAAAGGGCCCTCGGAGGCCCCCGGAGGCGCAGAAGGGGGGCCATGAGCATGCAGAAACCGCTCGTTCCTCGTCGTCGCCGCCGTCGCCGCGCGCCATCGCCGCCGTCGCTGGCCGCTGCCGCCGTCCTCGTTGCCGCCGCAGCTGTCCTCGTTGCCGCCGCCGCCGTTGCCGCCGCCGTCGTCGCCGCCGCCGCCGTCGCCACGTTGCCGCCGCCGTCGTCGCCGCCGGCGCGCGCGGCTCCAGGCGGTGGCCCCGAGGAGGGCGAGGCTGGCGTGCCCCCCTGCGGGCCGTGAGCGGGCGGGCGCGCCGCGGGCTTTGCCGCGCCTTGCGGGCGGCCGGGGGGCGGCCGCGGGGTGTGCAGAAGGTCGGGGCGGCCGCGAGGCCGTGCGCGCAGAAGGCTGCGCGGTGCAGCACGGTGCACGTTCTGCCTTCGCGCGCGGCGAGCGCATCCACACCCGCGCCCTCGCGGTCGGATTCCGGGGCGCGCTCCCGCAGATGCGCGGCCGCACGGGTTCACGTTCCGCGCGGGGCCTCCGCGGAGAAGCGCTTCGGGTGCGCGGGCTCGCGGCCGCCCCAGGGGCCCGGCCCGCGAGGCCGCAGATACGGATGTGTGTTTTTCGCCCACGGCGTTTCTCGGGGGTCGGCGGCAACCATAGGGGGGGATAGGCATAGGGGGGGATGCATCGATCTCCAACCGCCCATTGTCAGGGGAGCGCAAACATGGATCAGGGGGGCGTGGATTAACGACGGGTCCCGTGTCCTTGGGAAATCGCAGGCTTCCGCCGCCGAGCGAGGCGGCACTGGCCGCATTTTGGGGAGGGCACCTCCCCCGATCCATGGATTTGGTACCGCGCGCCAATGGATCGCTAATCCATGTTTGCGCGGCCCCGACATTGATCGCCGATTGGGGCCCGACAGCTCCAACCCGCCCAGGAAGGTGCTGCTTCGCTATCGGGGGCCTATCGCCGACCCATCGGCGATGTATCGCCGATCCCAGGTCGATGCGTTCTCTTCTTGTGCCAGTGGTCCCTATCGTTGCCCCTCGGGGCGGGGGGCGGGACCGAGGAAAAGAAAGCGGCGCGAGCGTAAATTGTTGAAAGTCCGCGCGGGGGGAAGGGGCCGGGATCGAGGAATCGAGTAGGGCATCGGCTACAAAATGGATCAACCCCAAGCATGCTTCTTTCGCCGAAGCTACGAGGCATGCGTAGACTGTTCCGTAGATCTGCGGAACATCCCACGCATGTTTTGTTCAGCTTCGGCGAAAGAATCAAGCTTGGGGTTAACCAATTCTGTTGGCGATCCCCTGGTCGAAGGAAGAGAGGGCGGCACGAGCGTAAAGCGTGGAGCGTCCGCGCGGAGTTCTCTGGACGTGTGCGCGCCAGGCGGCGCCTCCGGCGCCGCCCCCCCGCCCTGGGCGGCGCGCTCCGCGCGCCAAAGATTGGGGGGTCCAGCGGCGATCCAAGAGATCGGCGCGGGCCTCCGGAAGTTTCTGCTTGTGCCGTCGTGCTTTCCTTCTTGAGCCTAGGTTTCTTGTTTCTCTAGTTGTCCCCTGTTTCTTCTTCTTCGTCTTACTCCCTCATTGTCCTGGTTGCTCATACTGCTCCCCCACATCCAGCGTGGGCGTCTTGCACTCTCTTGACACCTCCCGTGCAGGAGCCTCGCCCTCTCCTCTTCTTTGTTCCTCGCTCACGCACTCACACTCATCATCATCATCATCATCATCATCATTATTATTATTAGTAGTATTATTATTATGATTATTAGGATTATTAGGATTATTATTATTCTTATTATTATTATTATTGTTATTATTATTAGTATCATTATTGTCATCACCATCATCATTATCATCATCATCAACATCATCAGCATCAGCATCAGCATCAGCATCAGCATCAGCATTAGCATTAGCATTAGCATTAGCATTAGCATCAGCATCAGCATCATCATCATCATCATCATCATCATCATCATCATCATCATCATCATCATCATCATCATCATCATCAACTTCAGCATCATCATCAGCACCAGCACCATTATCCTCATCATCCTTATCGTGATTAGTATCAGTTTCACCATCATCGTCTTCATCAACCACTCGATGCCCCACTCACCCACTCACTCACTCACCATCATAATCACCACCATCATCATCATCACCATCACCATGACCATCACCATCACCATAACCATCACCATCATCACCATCATTATCGTTGTCATCACCACCTTCATTAGAATTTGCATCATCATCATCATCATCATCATCATCATCATCATCATCATCATCATCAGCATCATCATCATCAGCAGCATCATCATCATCATCATGAGGGCCCCGAGGCTGTAATCTAAGGAGGTCTTAGGTGGGGGCCCTGCCTGTGAGTGAGGTTCCAGGAAGCCCGAGGCAGGAGCCTCCTCCCTATGTGCCCGCACCTTATGTTTTTGATCCCAGGGGCTCATTCGAAACTTGTGATTGTCGTCACGTTTGGATCCCTGAGGCGTGAATCTTCAGGAAGTCTCAGGCCAAGGCCTCGTATGTGAGTGCATTGCGAGAAAGTCAGGCAGGAGCCCCTTCCCCATGAGGCCCGACTTCATGTTTTTTGTCCCACGGGGTCTTTCGACTCCTGTAACTGTCGTCACTTTTGAGTTCCCGGGGATTGAGTATGGAGGAAGTCCTGAGTGGGAGCCTCGTAAGCGAGTGACTTGTGATGAAGTCTCGAGTGGGAGCCCCCTCCCTGTGGAGCCCGCGCCCCATGTCTTAAACCCCAAGGATGGGACAGAATGGAGGTGAGGACAGCATTCAGGCGAACTAGGGAGACGCTCACGCGGAATCCTTTTGTCGGAGAATTTTTCCCTTGGGGGACGGGGAGGGATGGAGGCGGGCCCCTCCGCAGCCAGACTCTTTCCTCGGCGCGTTCTGCCGTCTCCTCCGCTCCCGGGGGGGGGGGGGGGGGCGGGTCGGGGCCCGTCCGGCGCGGCCGGGCCTCGACGAGGGCTCCGGAACGGGGGCGCTTCTGGGGGTTAGAGCCTGTTTTTTATTAGACTCTGGCAAGTTTACTTGCATGGACGGGGGGGGCTGAGCCTGAAGCAAGCCGCAAACGACTTGCACGTTCGGGGGGGCGCGGAAATCACGCAAGTCGAAAGGCACTTGCACGCTAGTATTCGCTTGAAGAGGGGCGAGGGGGGGGGGGGGGGGCGAACGCCATGCAAGTAAACTTGCCTGAATCCAAAAAAAAGGCTCGGGGGCCCAGGCGACGGACGGGGCAGCGGACTCGAGCCGTCAGGCCCCGCCCCCCTCCCGCTCTTTCCCGCCCTCTGCGGCTCCGCCCTCCCCTGCTTCTCTCCTGCTCCGCTCTCCCGCGCTCTTCACCTCTCTGAGGGCCTCTCTGGCCCTCCGCGCTTCCACCCCTCCGTCTTCCACTCCTCTCGACCTCCACCCCCCCCTTGCCTCTGGCCGCAGGGGCAGTGCGGTGCTGTTTCCGTGCTTCTTTCGGGGGGGTGGGTGTGGGGGGGGGGGGGGGGGGGTTGGGGGGCAAATGCCCGCTTGCGACAAGGGAGGCCACGAGTGCTTGATGTTCTTTGCTTCCCCTGTGGTCTGGAGAGGCTTCTCGTCGCCCCCCTTGGACGCCCTCTGAAATTCTGGCCGCCGCGCGACTCCGAGGCCCCAAGTCTCGCGACCCCCTCGCGTCGTGGCCAAGTCGCGACGGTACGTTTCTGTTCGGCAGTTCTCTGTCCTCGGGGGCCGCTTTCGGGCCCCGGAGCCGTGAGCAGCAGCTCATCCAGAATGCAGAGGGCGCCCCCCCCCCCCCCTGGGGGAACGGGTCGAGAGCGTCGCGGCGCCACCTTGCGCAAAAATCACGACGCCGCAGCTCCTTCATGCCAGAGCGCTTGCCTTTCTCACCTCGCGTGCAAGAGCGGCTCGTTGTTTGTGTGCTCGCTGGCCGCCCGTCTGGCGCTCATACCTACCATCGCACCCGTCCCT